TGAAGGATTTTAACTTGCTGATGATCTGCCAAAGCAGGGAGATCGTACAACCGGGCTAATGTGTTTATTCTATCATGCTGCAGTTTATGCTCTTACACAGACTCGTCTCCCCCTCTTTTGCTCCGCAGCGGTGAAAACGAAAATGAAACTTAAAAGTAAAGTCCGCAAAAAAACTCCATCCCGGTTATATGCAACTGTTCTGATATTTTCCCAAACCGACACGCTGTGAGCAACAGTTAACTTATCTGCATAGTTTACACAGTTAAGTTTACATCTCAGATAGCGACACGGAGAGACGTTAACTTTCAGAGACAGACAGGGCGGAGCTCAGACAGTCTGTGATGAGAGATATAACCCCGGTGTTTAAAATGTTGCTGTTGGTGTTTTCTGCTCTCAGTTTTTAAAAGTTACTTATCAAGCCTCTCCACCCGAAGCTCACCTGTTGTGATAACGGAACCTATAGGGATTACACTAGATGATGTTACAAAGCAGCAGGCAGGTGAGAGTGAGTAACCATGGTGACTATCTGTATGTCACTCAACGATGTCCCGCCCCCTCTATGAATTAAACCCTTCTGTCAGTAAAACTTACTTTGATCATGTGTCACAGAATGAACACATTCTGTATTATGTTTGATTATATATAAACACAACTAATGATGTCATAAAAAAACAACAAATGCTACAGAGCCTGTATGAAGCTATAGCTGTAGGAAGTCTATATGTTTTTAAATGAATGTATCACTGCGTGAAAATGTTCCTGATGAACATAAAAAGAGGACACATAACTAAATCATCATTTCAAAGTTGTGAGGAAAACCTTCAAATTGTGCATAAATATTGATCAAATTGAGGGAAAGACATTTCTGTTGCTAAAGATGTTCTGGGTGAGACCTTCAGACCTCCTACAAAGATATTTTTCAAATAGATTAAACTTGTCGGCGCAGTTTTTGTGCATTTAAAAAACATTATACAGGGAAATAAGTTTGGTTGAACTGGTTAGTAACTTCCAAATTTGTCTAAAGAACAGTATGAAAAAAATCGTGATGAAATCGTAATCGTGATTTTGCCAAAAAAAGGTTGTGATATGATATTCTTCCCATATCGCCCACCTTTAGGCCAAACATATTTGTTTTACCGGCCCAAATAACAAATTTTGTTTTGTCTGTTACAGTAAATTTAATTGAGAAGGCATTATGTTTTGTTTAATCAATAACAAATTTAAGTCACAGATTCGATCATGTCATCAGATCAGGAAATTGAAAAATTGTAAAAAAAAAAAATATTTGCTGGCCTTGATTTTTTTCTTAATGTATTATTTGTAGGCAGGAGTTCCCAGACCCCCCCTCCTGCTCTCCTCTGAACCGCCCCTGCATTACAACACGACAGACTAAATACAAAAATCCGTCAGAGAAAAATGAATTATTAATCCTCAAAACAAGTTTTCTCCTGATTTAGCTTTGACAATATTAGAAACTTAATATAATCAGCCTGCTCGTTAGTGGATGTGTGTATATCTCTGACTGCTCCTGCTGCACATGATGGAAGAGAAAAGTAGAGCGTGCATTTAGAGTCCTCTAGGATGTCTAAAGTGTTTATAACACAGCGCTGTTTCACAGAGTCTGTCGGACCCTGCCTGTTATAGATGTTTTATAAACCACCTCTTAAAGGTTTATAAATCATTTGGTCATCATTAACAAACACTTTATAACGTGTATGAAATGTTATAGATCAATCATGTTATAGATCAATACATCAATAAACTGTTTACATAACAAAGTATAGCATTACAAATCATTAGCAAACATTATTAACTATCATTTCATTGTTTGTTAATAGTAAATAACTATTAACTAATGGTTAATTAACTATCTATTTAACCTTATTTACCCTTTATAGATGATGGTTATTATAAAGTGTTACAATTTGCTGTTGAGGGAGAAGAAAGCAACATCCATTGCCACACTTAACAAAACTACATCAAAACCAAAACTGAATATTTAAGGCTCACCTGTTGCTTTCTGTGTAGGAGGTGTAGTGGTGTGAGTGATGATATGATGCACAAGAGGGCAGTGCTGGGATGAAATTTCTTATGAAAAACTCAACACAGAAAGCCGCTCATTTTCTCTGGTTGTACCTGAAGTCATATGTTGTTTATTCTGTTAAATTATGCCAATTAATTTGGCCTGTGTGCATCCACAGAAATAAGTCAATGCAAGGCCAAATGCAAGATGACAGTAACACACCCTGCACACACTGGAAAGCAAAACTTTGATTATTCCATACTAAATGTAGTATTAAGAAAACAAAACCGTGGGCATTGATTACCATGAAGAGGAAAACAAGCTGAATTCAAGAGTAGAGCAAAGAAGTGACAAAAGATAAACAGAGGCGAGGCCAGAAGTCAGACATATTGTCTCACTCAAAGACAACAAAAAAGTTCAGAGATCTTTCTCTTACCTTAACAGTGTGTATCTTTTCCAGACACTATTCAGGCAGAACAGCAGTAGAAATGTAAACTGTGGAGTCTAACCATTTGTTTGCAGGATTTTATATCCAATAAGGACAAGGATGCAGCCCATGGGTCCAGCAGCAAATATCTCTTTTCCCTTAACAGAAAGTTAAGGAAAAAATGACTATTGTGAAAAAAGCAGAGAAAGTACCAGTAAGCTGTATGTAAACTATGATTAATTTGGCAACCTATAGCACAACTCAAAGTTTTCTTCAAATAAAACACCCCTTGGATCATGAGGACTGGTGCCCATGCAGCAGTACTGTTTTTATTGGAGAATTATGTCCAAAGGAGTAGCTTAGCCTACAGTGGACCTTAGATGAATCAGAAAGACGTGTTTGTTTGTCCGGGGTCTGACAGATCCTAATCCCATAAAATGTTGAGTAATGGTTAAATCCTCATTATTGTGAGATTTATTTTCCCCCCCTCTATTTGGTGGAGGTCTCTTGTGGCCAAGCAGGGGACAGCAGCCCACACTTTGGGAAGCGTTGGACCAGAGACTGGACCAGAAACCTTCTTTTTTATACTTTCCTTTTGAATAAATCAACAAGTGGGTTAATGGATTTACCAGGCTATCAAGAAGGATAAAAAAGCATAGAGCATGGGGCGCTGGTGGTGCAGTGGTTAGTGCACGCGCCCCATGTATGGAGGCTGTAGTCTTAAAAGCGGGCGGCCCAGGTTCAAATCCAGCCTGTAGCTCCCCTCCTGCATGTCATTCCCCACTCTCTCTCGCCCTGATTTCCAACTCTATCCACTGTCCTATCTCTCCATTAAAGGCACAAAAAGCCCAAAAATAAATCTTTAAAAAAAACAGTATAGAGCAATTTGTTTGAGGCTAATATCCACAATGTTGGAGGTAAGAACACCAGCATCTGTCCATCGCAAACATGTTGATGGCTATCATAAAGTAAAATTGAACAGTAACATCAAGGTTAGCGCTATAATTAGACAGCTAATAAGTTATCAATATGCTTGTGCAAGTTTAAAGAAAAAGTATAACTCATGTTTCACTATACATGCATTGATGCTACATTAAAGGTGCACTCTGTAGATTTGGTAGTGAAATTTGAAGGTCGGAGAAGTGCAACAATTCTATGCTATATTTTCTGAACTAAACACATACACTTCAAAGGAAAAAAATGTGTCCTTGGAACACTGTCTGGAGCTAAAAGTCTACCAGGAGAAATACGGTTTCACTGTTACGGGCCCTCCACCATAACTTCTCGCGTAGCATTTTATCTTCAAACAGTTACAGGGACCAAGTATTCCTCTGAGGACAGTTTGTGTTTAGAGTTATTAACATATACCACAGAATCTCTACACTTCTCCAACTTTCTAATTTCTCTACCAAAATTCCACAGTGCATCTTTAAGGGGAAATAACAGTGGACCTTTAAGAGAGAGGTACACAGTTAACTTCAATGTAAATGATAGAAATGTATTTAAGATGAGCATTAATATCTAGAATTATTGCATGCTTTTTCTATCTTGTCTAAGATTCTCAAATGTAAAAGTAAACTAGTAATTGGCTAAAAGCTAAGGTTGGCTGTGTTCTAACTGTGGTCAGTGGGTTATTATAATTTTTTTAATTAGAATGTGGCTTAAGGTCTTTTTTCATTATTTATTGTCTTTGTAGACGTAGTCTGTTTGTTAGACGTTCAATATTTGTATATGTGAGAGGCAATACTATGAAAACAAGTTTTGAGCTTTCCAACCTGGGCGTTGAGCTACAGAACACTGGCAGCTGTATGAAGATTATACATGAACATCCAGTGAACCTTTTTCTCGTCTTCTTTTGGGATAGTAAAAACTGGTAATTTCTTTGTGTGGCTAAAAAATAAGAAGGTCATGGTTTGATTCATCTGGCAAGAATGTAAACAGCACTCAGGTTATAAACTCTTTAATATATGAGTATAAGATATAAGATCAGCACACTACAGAAAATTAAAGTTTACATTTTAATATGACAAACAATGCAAACCAAGGCAATTATTTTCATAAACAGGTACTGTTACATCTTGACACATTTTAGTAATCCTTCTGCTTGATGGAATTGAAAACAAAGACAGTTGCTTATTAATGTTAACCAACTATTAAAGGAAAATGTTAAATTTACAGTATTTGCTACCACACATATCTGCAAATATTTAAATAAATCATCAGTTTACTTCAAAAGCCTCAGGGAAAGTGTTTATGATTTTATAAAACATTCATGCCCCATGCTTGTTCTGAGTGATTTCTCAATGATTTAGTACATCAAGAGAGCTAAAGGAAACCCTCAACAACAAGCCAAACCTGGACCCCATCCTTATCTATTGAGACCAGAATCACAGAGCCTACGCCTTTTCACTCAAATATCCAATTCCAACCAATCATACACGTCACTCAGTGGGTGTTCCTTTTATCTGACAGCCAAACCTGTTGCTCCACCAATGTATAGGGAGGAGATAAGGGATGTTTTGAAAGGTTATTACAAGCCTGCTTCTTGACTTGCACAGCATTTTCAAATGACTGGCTTAAATGTTCCTTGTCTCTAAGGATTTTAAGCCATCCAACAAGACAAAAGAAAGCTGAGGTAAGAAAAAAAACATAAAGAATGTAAACTTGGCTCAATACATTTATTTACAAATAGCTTCTATATTTTATTTGCTATCAATTAGAATCATGTTTTAAACCATTATGTCATTCATACAGACCTGTGATCTTTATAGAAACTCCCGTTCTGGATTTATAATGTGAAAAAATCAAGAGCACATGGAAAGTGCACGTTCTCCCTCAAATCAACAAATATCCCTTCATTCTGATAACTGTGGAATGTTTTACATCAGTAATTATAAGATGCAGGTAACCAGAAACATCTCTGTGTATGATACTGCAAATACTGCATTAATACAGTAAAAAACATTTGGCCCGTATTGGGTGGTTCTTAACAAGATATATGTTTTTTCAGTAAATTGTAATGCATGTATAATGATTTGTTTTGTCTGTATTTGGTTTTATGTGATTGTCTGTTTGTATTATATCTTTTTTTTAAATTGTGAAGCACTTTGTGACGTCTGCTCTTGAAAGGTGCTATATGAATAAACTTTACTTACTTACACAGCAGGATCCAGAGCTTATAGCTGAAGTTGGTTACCCAAACATATTTATACTTATTTTTGGTGACACATTTAAATAATTGTTACCATGGATGAACAGACAACCTTTCTTTTTCAAAATAGTGGCATGGTTTATAAAAAGTAAATTAAAGGTTTTGCTATACTCAATGCACTTGGTTAAGATATTGGGCTTTTAAGGTGTTCATTTGCATTAAACTACTTGGAGTATAACTTCTTATTAACTATCTTCAGTTGTAGGCCACTTTTTACTAATATTTCAAAGTAATAAAGATACATCTAATTCAGGATACGCAAGGTCACCTTCCAACAATAATAACAGCACAATATAAATATACTAAATCTATAAAATATATAGGTGTGTATGTATAACAGTTCTGGGGACTTTTTGAATAGGAACTATCCACTTGGGATTTCCCTAAGAACTACACACCTTTAGGACTTTTTTCTGTCTGCATTCTGTCTGCATTGTACCTACTCTGAAGCAGGAGCTGAAAAGTTTCCTCTAAATAGGGGTCTAGGAACTAAAATAGATTTCACAGTGTAGTACACGTGATGTGCAAGAGTTTCTGGTGGCTGCAAGATCATATTAACCATAGAGAACAGAGTTCTTGTGTTCCTTTACCTAATTAGGTTTGCATAATATTCAGTGTAGGCTGTGGAAAGAACATCCTGTCATTGTGAATATCTTAATCAAACAGATTTTCTTTAATTCAGATAAAAAATACTGTGATTATTACTGCAACACTTTCTGTGACAGAAACACCAAACAGATTTAGAATTTACAAGCAAATATGTAAAAAGGTTACTTAATAAGATGTGTTATACAGATTGGTTTAGAAATTACTCCAATAAGCTCCACACTGATCAGCTGCAGCAATATGAACATTGGGGTGGAAAACAAAATTTCTGATTTCTCCGATTAATTTTCTTAGTCATCAAGGGTTAAGAAAGCAGTGTTGGGCTGGAGATGATGTAGGATGTGTCAAAGAAAGTCTTAAACCTTTTTTCATCTGGCTCTTCAGTTATTTCAACATTTAATTTTTATCCAAATTGTCTTTTCCTGTCCTAGATTATATATAATATGTTTTAGAGTGGCATGTGATATTTGTCTTTTTCTTGATCAACAGTGCAAAGGCAACAGGATAACCCAAATGGAGCAGAGATGAACATTGGGAAAAACATGCAATTTGAAGACAGAAAAACAAAGATGGGCATACATGCCAAAAAGGAGGCTATTGAAAGCCAAAGACAATTGACATATCAAGTAATGGAGGAGATAAAGCACATTTTGGAAGAGAAAGAAAGAGAGACAAAAACAGTTGACTATCTACGAGCGAAGACAGAGCAGCAACAGAAGGACATTGACAGTCTGACATCTGAAAAAGATGAGCAATACTTATTAATTAAAAGACTCAGGATACAGAATGTACATATAATGGAGAAACTCAAGGTGTGTAGGATTTATGACACTGAAGAAATACTGCAACTTTACAAAGTCCAGGCTGAAATATATAAAAAAAGAGAAACTCCGGAGAGGAGACCTAATGAGATCATAGATGAGCCACAGACGTCCAAAACAACCAATTCTGATAAAATGGCATCAAAAGAAAGTATGGAACCCAAGGAAGCCATAGAACAGGTAACTTGCAAGCTGGAAGTAACAGAGAGACTGAGGGCTGACAGTCTGCTTAGTCTGTTAGACACAAATAAGAAAATAATGCTCGGCATGAAGCTGGCAAAAGAACAACTTGAGATAAATATGGCAGACACAAGTCAAGAGTTAATGAGAGGTCAAAGACTTATCTTACAACATAGAGAACAAGTCGAAGATATCAAACATAACATGAATGTAATCATTAACAAGATTAAGCAAAAACAGACAAAAATCCAAGCGGATGTTCAAACACGTGAAGCCATAGTCCCACAGATCCAAGGCAAACTAGAAAAGAAAGAAAGAAAATACACCTTTGAAACTGTTAAGTTAAAACTCTGCAGAATCCTGGAGGGAACTGATAAACTCTGTGATATGCTGAAGGAATGTGACCTTGAGGAAGGTGATTTGAGAAATCTTGAGTTAAAGACGGAGACTAGTTTGGTAGAAAACATGAAATCTGATCCCCAAACACAAAGACAAGATAAAGAAGTAAGCATGAAGACAACACAAGACGTAGAGAGAAACTTGGCACAGATACAATCTGAAAGAGATGAGATATACCAATTAAAAACAAAAGTACAAGCAGAGAGACCAAACATTCAAAGAGACCGGCAGGTAGTTGAAGCAGAAATGAGTGCAATGAAATGTACAAGGGACGATATTGAAAGGGAAAAACAAGAGCTTGAATACAAGTTAGAAATTACAAAAAGAGAGATAAGAGAGATGGAAGTGCTGAAAAATGAGATTGAAATAAAGAAAAGGGACTTTGTAAAAGTGATACGAAAGAGCAAGAGAACAACAGGAGACCTCAGCAAACTGGAGGATGAGACAGAACATGATAAACAAGACATGGAGAAAAGCCAAGAGGGGACAGAGGGTCAAAGGTCAAAGTGGGTGGAGTTGAACATGGAGCACAGATTTGATGAACATAGGGCACATTTTCAAATGGCTGATAAAACCAAAGAAACACTTCAATTAAAAGAAAATCTACTTGAGAAAGACAGCAAAGGGATACGTATAAACGATCATAAAGTGAATATTGACACGCAGGGAGTGATTCCTGAGGCAGGAGAAATGGGAGAAGACACAAAGCAAGGCAGAACAGACGTTTCAGAAAAGAGTCAACTGAAATGGATTCGTTTTCAAGCAAAGAAAAACAAACGGGAGGTTGAGCAATGGCTGGAGAAGATGATGAAAGAGAAGGATGAATCAGAAATCATGAAGATCAAGATACAACGACAAAAGGAGGAGATTCAACTAAAGCTGGAAGATACAATAACTCAAATTCTGACGGTGAAAGAGATTAAAGCTTGCATAGAAAAAACTGCAGCAGAGATGAAAAACACACAAATGGAGTTGCTAAAAGACCAAAGCAAGATGAAGGAAAACAAGAAAGAAGTTGAAAAATTAATGGTAAGTAAATAATCTTTCCCCTTATTCTTATCTTTTACATAAGCTTAAAGAGGACATATTATCCCCTTTTCCACCTTTCAAACATGCTCCTGTGGTCTAAATGAAACATCTGTCCTGTGCTTTGGTCAAAATATAACATGGTCAAAATATGGTCAAAATATCAAATGAATTGTCCTAGGCTGGGAGTGGAGTCCATGGGTGGACATATCAGGGGAGAGGAGGGTATTTTTTTTTACCAGAATCCCACTGTGACATCACAAGGAGAGCAATTTGAAATGGAGCATTTCTCTCTGTGTTGTAAGACTTATGCAGACCACAAACAAAGGATTGGATGGGTTTATTTCACATTTTGTGGGCCAGTAGACACTCAGGTTACCCTAATATATGTTCAAAAGCACTGTCAAAGTGGATTTTTCATAATATGTCCCCTTTAACCTAAACATTACCTTTTTTATAGAGCAGAAATGTTAGTATTTCAGTGCAGAAAGCAAATGCATTTTTAAGTAAATGAATGATGGTTGCTTTTCATCTGTTATTAGGTCCAGCTATTGTTCAGGGGTGCTTGATGGCCTAGCATCCTTTAGGGAGATTTCAGGTTTCAAAATAGCTTCGACTTGTGTTTTAATCTAAATCAACTACTATGGGAACATGTGACCCTGTGAAACAGTATGGGTCATTAATGTCCATCCATCCATCCATTTTCTTCCGCTTATCCGAGGTTGGGTCGCGGTGGTAGCAGGCGCAGTAAATCAACCCAGACTTCCCTCTCCCCAGCAACGTTTTCCAGCTCCTCCTGGGGGATTCCGAGGCGTTCCCAGGCTAGGCAGGATATATAATCCCTCCAGTGCATTCTGGGTCTGGCCCGGGGTCTCCTCCCAGTTGGTCATGCCTGGAAAACCTCTAAAGGGAGGCTTCCAGGAGGCATCCTTAACAGATGCCCAAACCACCTCAACTGGCTCCTCTCGATGCGGAGGACAAGCGACTCTACTCCGAGGCTGAGCCAAGCCACCCTCCGGAGGAAGCTCATTTCGGCCGCTTGTATCCGCGATCTCATTCTTTCATAGCTCATGACCATAGGTGAGGGTTGGAACGTAGATCGACTGGTAAATCGAGAGCTTTGCCTTCAGGCTCAGCTCCCTCTTCACCACAACGGTCCGGCACAACGCCTGCATTTACGGCTGACGCCGCGCCAATCCGTCTGTCGATCTCACGTTCCATTCTACCCTCACTCGTGAACATGACCCCGAGAAACTGTTTCACTTGGGGCAAAGACTCACTCCCCACCTGGAGAGAGCAATCCACCTTTTTCCGGCAGAGAACCATGGCCTCTGACTTGGAGGTGCTAACCCTCATCCCAGCCGCTTTGCACTTAAAAAAGCAGAGACGAGATTTTGAGGTCCCCAAACTGGAAACCCTCCTCCCCCCGGTTGCTCCTTGAGATCCTGTCCATGAAGATCACAAACAGGATTCTCAGCGGGTGTGTCACTGAGTGGGGAAAATTTGTTTGAAACGTGAAGTGGTTGGTGGGTAACCGTGCGCTTTGATTTTCGATTATGCTTCCCTCGGACAGTAACCCAGCCACTGCCTCCCGGCTGCTTGGGAGCTACCGGGGGGGAAGCCAAGCTATGTCGGCTCGCACCGGCTACAGGTGGCTGGCTAACTACTGCTGCATATGATGGCTCTGACTCAATGGTGCGGAGACACCCTTGCCTCCAAAGCTAAAAATAAACTACATTTCTTACATGTATCATTATCACTAAAGGAGGACGAGGAGTAACTTAACATCTGACACGTAGAGCAGGAGAGAGCAGGAGAGGAAGAGACAGAAAAAGAAGCCATTGTAAATAAAGCTAACTGCTAAGCTAAGCTAGGCTAAGAGTAGGTAGCTAAAATAAACAAAACTGTTAAGCAGGTTTGTCGCTAGAGAGAAAGAGTGCTTTTCGATTACTTCTGTTTGTCTGAACGTACAGTGTGTTGGAAACAACAGTCGTAAGAAACTAGGCAAAATTAACAATTAAGCTTTTAGCTCTAACAATCAGCACTGAGCAACACAGAACAGCGGAGAACAGAACAGGAAATGATGCAATACGCTCACCCGTAGTACATGTAGACTGGATTGAACCCCAACGAAAAAGACTGGGCATAGACACTTCAAATATTTGTTTTATTTCATGTGCACACTTTATTAATTAAGTTGTTAATTGCATTAGTAAATTGTATATTGTAATCTTGACCTGCAATATTTGTGTTTCTTACATAAAAAGTTTGAAAATGTATTCCTGTGTGCGCCTCTTGACTGGTATTCAGACCTTGGGCTCAAGGTGTCCTAGTCTTCTGATGTTTGTCCACCTTCAACACTTTATTTACAGTAACATGGGTGAAAAACAACTATGCTTTTTCCCTGAATTTGATCAGATATGTTGGTAGCTATGACACACCAAATGTTTTCATAATGTTGTTTACAGTTAACGTTAAAGATAATACTTTTATTTGTAGTAGCATTTTTTTTTTCAAAAACTGTTTGAGTGGAAGTTCAATACAATTCAATTCAATACAATACAACAGACCTCCTTTATGTTTCTGCATTTACTTGAAAGTTTGACCCTGTTCCCACTGAGCTGTCAATAAGTGCATAATAAAGTATTTATTAACCTTTATAAGTAGTGTTCCCACTTTAGATCCAGTAACTGCAGAGGAGCTTTATTAGCTCTTAATAAGTGCATAATAAAGTATTTATTAATCTTTATAAGTAGTGTTCCCACTTAAGACCCAGTACCTGCAGAGGAGCTTTATTAGCTCTTAATAAGTGCATAATAAAGTATTTATTAATCTTTATAAGGATTTATATTTCCTTATAAAGTCTTATACATGTTAATAAACATCTTATTAATGTTTATGGCGGTATATAAACTGTTAATAAGTTTCTAATAAGAGCCTGTAAGTGTCTTATAAGACATAATAAAGGTTTTAATTATGCCTCTATTCACACTTATATAGCCTTATTTATGTTAATAAGAATCTAATAAGGTCTTATAACATCTTATAAGTGACTTATTACCTATTAATTACAGCTTCTTACAAGCACCTTAATATAAAGTGTTACCAGACGTGTCAGCTAAGACAGCCCAACAATGTCCAGAGTCTTTAGCATCTCAGGGCAAATCTCATCCACACCTGGCGCCTTGCCACTGAGGACCTTTCTAACTGCCTCAGTGACCTCTGCCAAGGTTAGTGGTAAGGCTTCCCCTGGATCTTCAGACTCTGCCTCCTCTTCAGAGGACGTGTTGTCTGGGTTCAGGAGTTCCTCAAAGTATTCCCTCCACCGCCCAACAATGTGCCCAGTTTGGGTCAGCAGTTCTCCACCCCTGCTGATAACAGCCTGGGGCAAGCCCTGCTTTCCCTTCCTGATCGGTCGGACGGTTTGCCAGAACCTCCTTGAGGCCAACCGAAAGTCCTTCTCCATAGCCTCCCCAAACTCCTCCCACACCCGGGTTTTTGCTTCTGCAACCACTGAAGCCACAGCCCTCCAAGCCACCCGATATCTGTCAGCTGCTTCCAGAGACCCCTGGGCTAACCAAGCCCAAAAGGCTTCCTTCACCACTGGTGTACACTATCTGGTTCTTAGGTTGCCGCCACGACAGGCACCGACGGTCTTCTGGTCGCAAATCCTAGCAGCTGCTTCCAAAATGGAGGCTTTGAACATGGACCACTCGAGCTCCATGTCCCCAACCTCCCCGGGATGAGGGAGAAGTTCTTCCGGAGGTGAGAATTGAAGACCCCACAGACAGGGGTCTCTGCAAGACGTTCCCAGGTCACCCAAACTACATGTTTAGGTTTGCCAGGTCTGTCCGGCTGCCTTCCCCCGCCATCTGATCCAACTCACCACCAGGTGGTGATCAGTTGACAGCTCTGCTCCTCTCTTTAACCCAAGTGTCCAGAACATACAGCCGCAGATCTGATGAAACAAAGTCAATCATCGATCTTTGGCCTAGGGTGCTCTGGTACCAAGAACACTTATGAACATCTCTATGCTCGAACATGATATTTGTTATGGCCAATCCATGTCTAGCACAGAAGTCCAACAACAAAACACCACTCGGGTTCAGATCAGGGAGGCCGTTTCTCCCAATCACCCCTCCCCAGGTGTCTCCATCGTCGCCCACGTGAGTGTTTAAGTCCCCCAGTAGAACTACAGAGTCCCTAGGCGGAACCCCTTCCAGGACCCCACCCAGAGACTCCAAGAAGGCCCTGTACTCTGAACTGCCGTTATGTACATATGCACATATAACAGTCAGATCCTTCCTCTGAAGTCACAGAGAGGCGACCCTCTCGTTCACCGGGGAAAACTCCAACACAGCAGCGCTCAGCCGGAGGCTTGTGAGTATCCCCACACCCGCCTGGCGCCTCTCACTCTGGGCAACTCCAGAAAAGGAAAGAGAACCGGTGCTATGCCTCGAGGTGAGCTCAACTATCTCTAGCTGGTAACGCTCCACCTCCCGCACCAGCTACCCGCCAGAGAGGTGACTTTCCATGTCCCTAGAGTCTGTCTGCGCTGCCGTTGATTAGCAAGCCCAGGCCTCTGCCTATGCCTGCCACCCGGCTTATCTTGCACCTGCTCCCCATGTCTCTCCCTGCGGGTGAGGGGCCTACAGGGCAGCGGCTCCATGTTGTTTTTTCGGGCTGAGCCTGACTGGGCACCATGGAAGAGAGCCCGGCCACCAGACACTCGCCTTTGAGCTCCCCCCCCCCCCCGGGTCCGACTCCAGGGGGGTGCCCCGGTTTCCCTCTTCTGGGCAAGGTGACTGGCTCCCATGTATTGCATGTACTTCATATGGGGATTTTTGAACCGCTTTTAGTCTGGACCCTCCCCCAAGACCACTTTGCCTTCTGAGACCCTAACAGGGGCTAAAGCCCCAGACAACACAGCTCCCGGGTTCACCAGGCCACAAACTCCTCCACCACGTTAAGGTGACGGTTCTTGGAGGAGTCATTAATGTGTTTCTTCAAAATAATGCAGCTCATGACAGATTTTTTTGATAAGCACACATCTTAATAGCACACTGTAATCTTTAGGTTTCTCTCTGCTCATAGATTTTTTTAAAAATAATTAAAGAAATATTTGACCCCTTAAGTGGTAATATGACTTAAATGTGTATTCTCAATCAAGTTATAAAACGTATAAGAGAAAAAGACAACTAAATCCAGCATAGATGTATGTATGCATGTATGTATGAATGTGGATATGGCTATGTGTATAAATATATATAGATACAGTCATGTATACACAACATTATATGTTAGTCTCAGTAATAATGATTACATTAATAAATACAATGCAATCACAAGAATATGAGTTATTTTGCGGTTAACTCTAAGTTGTTATGATAATGAAAACCAAGTCTTTTTTTTTCAAGGTTAAGATGACTTCAATTAAAGCGCAGATCAGCAAGTGGAAGTTGACGGTTTCTTCAATCAGAAAGCCTTCTACAATAAATCCCTTCACACTTCAAGAACCTCAGACAGAAACACACGGAGACTCCCTCAGAGATCTAACTTTCAAAATTGTAGAAGAAAGAGCAGAAGATGCTACTACAAACGAGGCCACAATTTTTCAACAATCTTTAACATCAGTTGACCTTCATCAGAGTGAAAAAGAAAACAAGTGGAAGAACCTACACACAAAGAGGAAACAGGGACAAGATCACAATTTATTTACAGAGGACACAGACGGAAAGCAAAGCATTTTCTTGCAGATTCACACAGAAATCCATGATGAAGCATTAATGGATGGTCAGACAACATTAGTGATTAATGTACAACAAAAAGCAGAAGTTGATAAGGAGATGACAAAACTTAAGGAAAAGGAGGATATAATAAGGAAGCAAATAATATATGCTGTGGAGAATATTAAGGAAGAAAATCAAGAGATGAAAAGAATCATCATGGAAATTAATGACCTGCAGAGCCAGAGACCAGAGACCCCAACCTTGATTCAAACCAGAAATAAAGTGGAAAGAGACACTGGACTGCTGATAGAAACAGAAAACAAAGACATATTGAAGGTTAAAAACGCTCAAGAAGAAAGTGATGAGATTGCCTTGAAAACACAAGATGCTGAGAAGCAAAAACAAAGTCAACAGTCAAGTGAAGATCTACAGACAAACACTGAAGAAAAGGTTGTACATTCTTGTAAACAGAAAACAGGAAATGATGACATACAAAGACTTAGAGTGGAGATTGATCAAACACAAGGATTACTAATGACACTGTTAAATCTCAAACTTGAAAAAAAAGCAAATGAAAGGAAAACTGACAAAGAGCAAGTAGATGGAGAATCTGGTGTTGAAGCATTGCTCCAAGATATTAAACAATTACAAGATCTTTTGAAAGAGGTTAATAAAATATTGATGAAGAATAAAATACCTTTGAAGGAAGAAAGTGGCAATATTAAAATGATGAAAATTGTAGCAAGAAAACAAAAAAAAGAACTGGACCAGAAGCTTGAGAAAACATTGAGAGAAAGAGACGGATTGGAAATCTTTCAGATAAAAATTAAGAGACAAGCTGATGCCGTTGAGAAGACATTGAAGAAAATAGCACAACTTAACATCACCATTGACAAAGTGGCTGCTAGTACTCAAAAGAAAAGTGATGACTTAAAAATGAATATGATAGAGACTGATGTGAAACTCAAATATTTAGTACAAGTGAAGGATAAGATTGAGTCTACTAAACAAACACTGGAAAATGGCCATCTTTTATTATCCAAGGAAAGAGCTGACCTTAAAAAAATGAAGACTGAAATCAGGCAGCAAAGTTGTAGAAATACTGCCTTGGAAACTGTTGATACAAAGGGAGACAAAAAGATATGTGTCAGACCAGAAACAAATCCAAACAAAGAAAGAGTAATAAAACCAATGGTAAGCAAAAACAAAGCAGAATTGTTAGATGAAATCATGATTCTCACGTCAAAAAACAAAACACTTCAGGAGGACAATGACTTAAAAACAATCAGTTTGAAGCATAAAAACTGTGAAATTGAAGAGCTTAAAATGGAAAGAAGCAAGCATTTGAAACAAAATGAAGACTTAGAAAAGATTAAGATGTTGAAACAACAGACTGAAAAAGAAAGGGAAAATATAAGAATAGCAAGAGAACACGCCATGGCAGAGGTAAGTGAGAGCAAAAGACAGAAAGAAAAGCTTGATGACAGAGTGCAAATAACTAAAAGAGAAATAAGAGAAATGGAGCTTCTAAAGTCACAACTAGAAATCAAGAAAAAAGAAAGTGAAAAGGTGTTTAGGAAAAGCATGAGAAAATGTAAGCAGAGTGAGATGATGTGGGATGAAATTCAAAGAAAAAAGCAATTCGGAAAAGAGGCCAAAAACAGAAGAATGAAATTAGACCAAAGATTAAAGAAATGCAGGAGAAAAGGGGAGGAGTTTGATAGCTTGAGAAAAAAACAACAGAAGAAAGAGTTACCTGTTGAGAACTTGAGTATTGGCGATAACACTTCTATAACTGAAGTATACAAAGGACCTGAAGAGAGGAGTCAGACAAACCTAATGGCGACAAGAATCGAGGACAAAGCTGAAACGGTACATCAAAGCTCAAAAATTGCTAATTCCTTTAATGACCTTGAAAACATAAGACAAAATATGAATGGACATTTGGAAAATATTTGGAAGAAAATGGAGATAATGGAAAAAGTAACTGCTGATTTTGGAATACAAAGAGAAGTGCTCAAGGCATTTGAAGCTAACAACAGGACTTTAAAACACAACATGGAAATAATAAAGTCTAAAGTAGAGGCCGATTTTGGAAAAATAAGTAAAGAAGCAAAGGAAGAGAGGGTTGAATTGAACCATGTGTTGGGAAATATTGAAAGACAATCAAGGGATCTTGCACTTGCTCAAGAAAAATTGAATAATGAAAGAAGGGAGATGGAAGCACTGTTGTTTGAATATGAAAAGAAACACAGGGAAAATCAAAAGATAATCCGAAAAAACAGATGTAAAGAGCAAAAAGTACAACAGTTGTGGATTGAGGTAAAAAATGAAACAAAAGCTCTAAAAAGAAAAAGTCTGAAGAGAAAGAAAGAGATGGACCAGTGCATGGAAAGGATCAACAAAGAAAGGGACAAACTTGAGATCCTGAAACTAAAAATGGAAAGAGAAGGGCAAAAAAACAAAGAAATTGATAGTTGCACTGAACTGGTGGAGGGAGAAAGGAAAAGTATGAATGCTCAAGAGCAAGAAAATTGTAAGGAAGTTGAGTTTGAAAGGCTACAAGAGAAACTGGAAATGCACAAGAACAGTGGGAGAGAAGAACTGGAAAGTTTGACGGAAGGTCTCAACAATAAGAAAGAAGAGTTTGAAGCTGATATGACCACCATCAGGGAAGAGAGAGAACAACTCAGTCGGATGGAGAACAATTTGGAGAGGCTACGAGAAATGCTTTCCAATGAAAAACAGGAACTAGATGGACAAAGGGCTGTGCTGAAACAGAAAGATGATGAACTGATGAATCAAATGAAACCGATAGAAATGCTGAGAGTCAAACTTCAACAGCTGAATGAAAAGATGTGTGTAGACCTGAATAACCAAATGGACAGTTTGCAGCAAAAAAATGAAGATCTGCAGACGCTTTACACTGAACTGGAAGGGAAGCTTGAAGGACTCACCAAACAGAAAGAAAACATGTCTGGTTACACCGAGCTGTTGGAGAGAGAAAAGCAAGCCTTGTTAACGCTTGTGTCAGACATGAATCTCCAGGAACAAGTCAAAGAAAACCAATGGCAGCAAATGTTTGAGGTGGAAAGGCATGATCTTCACAAACTAAAGGCAGAGCTGGAGAAAGAGAGGGAGGATCTGGATGAAGCAAAAAAGATGTTGATTAAAGACAGACAGAACTTGGAGCTAACTAAATGTGACATCCAGAAACAAAATGGCATTTTGGAAGAAGAGAAACACAAGTTGAAAGAGGAAAGAGACACTTTGGAAATAACTAAGGCTGAGATACACAAGAAGCAAGAACATGCAGATAGTCTGTTTGATGAGATAAACAGACAGAAAACTCAGATTAAAGACATGACCCTTCAGCTAAAGTCAGAAAGAGAACAAATGGAAAACATCATGAACTCGATCACCTTGAAACAAAAAGAACAAGAGCGTAAGGAAGTTGAGCTTGAAGGGCTACAAGAGAAACTGGAAATGCACAAGAACAGTGTAATGTCAGAAAGAGATGAACTGGAAAATTTGAAGGAAGGTCTCAACAAGAAGAAAGAAGGGTTTGAAGCTGATATGACCACCATCAGGGAAGAGAGAGAACAACTCAGTTGGATGAAGACCAATCTGGAGAGGCTACGAGAAATGCTTTCCAATGAAAAACAGGAACTAGATGGACAAAGGGCTGTGCTGAAACAGAAAGATGATGAACTGATGAATCAAATGAAACCGATAGAAATGCTGAGAGTCAAACTTCAACAGCTGAATGAAAAGATGTGTGTAGACCTGAATAACCAAATGGACAGTTTGCAGCAAAAAAATGAAGATCTGCAGACGCTTTACACTGAACTGGAAGGGAAGCTTGAAGGACTCACCAAACAGAAAGAAAACATGTCTGGTTACACCGAGCTGTTGGAGAGAGAAAAGCAAGCCTTGTTAACGCTTGTGTCAGACATGAATCTCCAGGAACAAGTCAAAGAAAACCAATGGCAGCAAATGTTTGAGGTGGAAAGGCATGATCTTCACAAACTAAAGGCAGAGCTGGAGAAAGAGAGGGAGGATCTGGATGAAGCAAAAAAGATGTTGATTAAAGACAGACAGAACTTGGAGCTAACTAAATGTGACATCCAGAAACAAAATGGCATTTTGGAAGAAGAGAAACACAAGTTGAAAGAGGAAAGAGACACTTTGGAAATAACTAAGGCTGAGATACACAAGAAGCAAGAACATGCAGATAGTCTGTTTGATGAGATAAACAGACAGAAAACTCAGATTAAAGACATGACCCTTCAGCTAAAGTCAGAAAGAGAACAAATGGAAAACATCATGAACTCGATCACCTTGAAACAAAAAGAACAAGAGCGTAAGGAAGTTGAGCTTGAAGGGCTACAAGAGAAACTGGAAATGCACAAGAACAGTGTAATGTCAGAAAGAGATGAACTGGAAAATTTGAAGGAAGGTCTCAACAAGAAGAAAGAAGGGTTTGAAGCTGATATGACCACCATCAGGGAAGAGAGAGAACAACTCAGTTGGATGAAGACCAATCTGGAGAGGCTACGAGAAATGCTTTCCAATGAAAAACAGGAACTAGATGGACAAAGGGCTGTGCTGAAACAGAAAGATGATGAACTGATGAATCAAATGAAACCGATAGAAATGCTGAGAGTCAAACTTCAACAGCTGAATGAAAAGATGTGTGTAGACCTGAATAACCAAATGGACAGTTTGCAGCAAAAAAATGAAGATCTGCAGACGCTTTACACTGAACTGGAAGGGAAGCTTGAAGGACTCACCAAACAGAAAGAAAACATGTCTGGTTACACCGAGCTGTTGGAGAGAGAAAAGCAAGCCTTGTTAACGCTTGTGTCAGACATGAATCTCCAGGAACAAGTCAAAGAAAACCAATGGCAGCAAATGTTTGAGGTGGAAAGGCATGATCTTCACAAACTAAAGGCAGAGCTGGAGAAAGAGAGGGAGGATCTGGATGAAGCAAAAAAGATGTTGATTAAAGACAGACAGAACTTGGAGCTAACTAAATGTGACATCCAGAAACAAAATGGCATTTTGGAAGAAGAGAAACACAAGCTGAAAGAGGAAAGAGACACTTTGGAAATAACTAAGGCTGAGATACACAAGAAGCAAGAACATGCAGATAGTCTGTTTGATGAGATAAACAGACAGAAAACTCAGATTAAAGACATGACCCTTCAGCTAAAGTCAGAAAGAGAACAAATGGAAAACATCATGAACTCGATCACCTTGAAACAAAAAGAACAAGAGCGTAAGGAAGTTGAGCTTGAAGGGCTACAAGAGAAACTGGAAATGCACAAGAACAGTGTAATGTCAGAAAGAGATGAACTGGAAAATTTGAAGGAAGGTCTCAACAAGAAGAAAGAAGGGTTTGAAGCTGATATGACCACCATCAGGGAAGAGAGAGAACAACTCAGTTGGATGAAGACCAATCTGGAGAGGCTACGAGAAATGCTTTCCAATGAAAAACAGGAACTAGATGGACAAAGGGCTGTGCTGAAACAGAAAGATGATGAACTGATGAATCAAATGAAACCGATAGAAATGCTGAGAGTCAAACTTCAACAGCTGAATGAAAAGATGTGTGTAGACCTGAATAACCAAATGGACAGTTTGCAGCAAAAAAATGAAGATCTGCAGACGCTTTACACTGAACTGGAAGGGAAGCTTGAAGGACTCACCAAACAGAAAGAAAACATGTCTGGTTACACCGAGCTGTTGGAGAGAGAAAAGCAAGCCTTGTTAACGCTTGTGTCAGACATGAATCTCCAGGAACAAGTCAAAGAAAACCAATGGCAGCAAATGTTTGAGGTGGAAAGGCATGATCTTCACAAACTAAAGGCAGAGCTGGAGAAAGAGAGGGAGGATCTGGATGAAGCAAAAAAGATGTTGATTAAAGACAGACAGAACTTGGAGCTAACTAAATGTGACATCCAGAAACAAAATGGCATTTTGGAAGAAGAGAAACACAAGCTGAAAGAGGAAAGAGACACTTTGGAAATAACTAAGGCTGAGATACACAAGAAGCAAGAACATGCAGATAGTCTGTTTGATGAGATAAACAGACAGAAAACTCAGATTAAAGACATGACCCTTCAGCTAAAGTCAGAAAGAGAACAAATGGAAAACATCATGAACTCGATCACCTTGAAACAAAAAGAACAAGAGCGTAAGGAAGTTGAGCTTGAAGGGCTACAAGAGAAACTGGAAATGCACAAGAACAGTGTAATGTCAGAAAGAGATGAACTGGAAAATTTGAAGGAAGGTCTCAACAAGAAGAAAGAAGGGTTTGAAGCTGATATGACCACCATCAGGGAAGAGAGAGAACAACTCAGTTGGATGAAGACCAATCTGGAGAGGCTACGAGAAATGCTTTCCAATGAAAAACAGGAACTAGATGGACAAAGGGCTGTGCTGAAACAGAAAGATGATGAACTGATGAATCAAATGAAACCGATAGAAATGCTGAGAGTCAAACTTCAACAGCTGAATGAAAAGATGTGTGTAGACCTGAATAACCAAATGGACAGTTTGCAGCAAAAAAATGAAGATCTGCAGACGCTTTACACTGAACTGGAAGGGAAGCTTGAAGGACTCACCAAACAGAAAGAAAACATGTCTGGTTACACCGAGCTGTTGGAGAGAGAAAAGCAAGCCTTGTTAACGCTTGTGTCAGACATGAATCTCCAGGAACAAGTCAAAGAAAACCAATGGCAGCAAATGTTTGAGGTGGAAAGGCATGATCTTCACAAACTAAAGGCAGAGCTGGAGAAAGAGAGGGAGGATCTGGATGAAGCAAAAAAGATGTTGATTAAAGACAGACAGAACTTGGAGCTAACTAAATGTGACATCCAGAAACAAAATGGCATTTTGGAAGAAGAGAAACACAAGCTGAAAGAGGAAAGAGACACTTTGGAAATAACTAAGGCTGAGATACACAAGAAGCAAGAACATGCAGATAGTCTGTTTGATGAGATAAACAGACAGAAAACTCAGATTAAAGACATGACCCTTCAGCTAAAGTCAGAAAGAGAACAAATGGAAAACATCATGAACTCGATCACCTTGAAACAAAAAGAACAAGAGCGTAAGGAAGTTGAGCTTGAAGGGCTACAAGAGAAACTGGAAATGCACAAGAACAGTGTAATGTCAGAAAGAGATGAACTGGAAAATTTGAAGGAAGGTCTCAACAAGAAGAAAGAAGGGTTTGAAGCTGATATGACCACCATCAGGGAAGAGAGAGAACAACTCAGTTGGATGAAGACCAATCTGGAGAGGCTACGAGAAATGCTTTCCAATGAAAAACAGGAACTAGATGGACAAAGGGCTGTGCTGAAACAGAAAGATGATGAACTGATGAATCAAATGAAACCGATAGAAATGCTGAGAGTCAAACTTCAACAGCTGAATGAAAAGATGTGTGTAGACCTGAATAACCAAATGGACAGTTTGCAGCAAAAAAATGAAGATCTGCAGACGCTTTACACTGAACTGGAAGGGAAGCTTGAAGGACTCACCAAACAGAAAGAAAACATGTCTGGTTACACCGAGCTGTTGGAGAGAGAAAAGCAAGCCTTGTTAACGCTTGTGTCAGACATGAATCTCCAGGAACAAGTCAAAGAAAACCAATGGCAGCAAATGTTTGAGGTGGAAAGGCATGATCTTCACAAACTAAAGGCAGAGCTGGAGAAAGAGAGGGAGGATCTGGATGAAGCAAAAAAGATGTTGATTAAAGACAGACAGAACTTGGAGCTAACTAAATGTGACATCCAGAAACAAAATGGCATTTTGGAAGAAGAGAAACACAAGCTGAAAGAGGAAAGAGACACTTTGGAAATAACTAAGGCTGAGATACACAAGAAGCAAGAACATGCAGATAGTCTGTTTGATGAGATAAACAGACAGAAAACTCAGATTAAAGACATGACCCTTCAGCTAAAGTCAGAAAGAGAACAAATGGAAAACATCATGAACTCGATCACCTTGAAACAAAAAGAACAAGAGCGTAAGGAAGTTGAGCTTGAAGGGCTACAAGAGAAACTGGAAATGCACAAGAACAGTGTAATGTCAGAAAGAGATGAACTGGAAAATTTGAAGGAAGGTCTCAACAAGAAGAAAGAAGGGTTTGAAGCTGATATGACCACCATCAGGGAAGAGAGAGAACAACTCAGTTGGATGAAGACCAATCTGGAGAGGCTACGAGAAATGCTTTCCAATGAAAAACAGGAACTAGATGGACAAAGGGCTGTGCTGAAACAGAAAGATGATGAACTGATGAATCAAATGAAACCGATAGAAATGCTGAGAGTCAAACTTCAACAGCTGAATGAAAAGATGTGTGTAGACCTGAATAACCAAATGGACAGTTTGCAGCAAAAAAATGAAGATCTGCAGACGCTTTACACTGAACTGGAAGGGAAGCTTGAAGGACTCACCAAACAGAAAGAAAACATGTCTGGTTACACCGAGCTGTTGGAGAGAGAAAAGCAAGCCTTGTTAACGCTTGTGTCAGACATGAATCTCCAGGAACAAGTCAAAGAAAACCAATGGCAGCAAATGTTTGAGGTGGAAAGGCATGATCTTCACAAACTAAAGGCAGAGCTGGAGAAAGAGAGGGAGGATCTGGATGAAGCAAAAAAGATGTTGATTAAAGACAGACAGAACTTGGAGCTAACTAAATGTGACATCCAGAAACAAAATGGCATTTTGGAAGAAGAGAAACACAAGCTGAAAGAGGAAAGAGACACTTTGGAAATAACTAAGGCTGAGATACACAAGAAGCAAGAACATGCAGATAGTCTGTTTGATGAGATAAACAGACAGAAAACTCAGATTAAAGACATGACCCTTCAGCTAAAGTCAGAAAGAGAACAAATGGAAAACATCATGAACTCGATCACCTTGAAACAAAAAGAACAAGAGCGTAAGGAAGTTGAGCTTGAAGGGCTACAAGAGAAACTGGAAATGCACAAGAACAGTGTAATGTCAGAAAGAGATGAACTGGAAAATTTGAAGGAAGGTCTCAACAAGAAGAAAGAAGGGTTTGAAGCTGATATGACCACCATCAGGGAAGAGAGAGAACAACTCAGTTGGATGAAGACCAATCTGGAGAGGCTACGAGAAATGCTTTCCAATGAAAAACAGGAACTAGATGGACAAAGGGCTGTGCTGAAACAGAAAGATGATGAACTGATGAATCAAATGAAACCGATAGAAATGCTGAGAGTCAAACTTCAACAGCTGAATGAAAAGATGTGTGTAGACCTGAATAACCAAATGGACAGTTTGCAGCAAAAAAATGAAGATCTGCAGACGCTTTACACTGAACTGGAAGGGAAGCTTGAAGGACTCACCAAACAGAAAGAAAACATGTCTGGTTACACCGAGCTGTTGGAGAGAGAAAAGCAAGCCTTGTTAACGCTTGTGTCAGACATGAATCTCCAGGAACAAGTCAAAGAAAACCAATGGCAGCAAATGTTTGAGGTGGAAAGGCATGATCTTCACAAACTAAAGGCAGAGCTGGAGAAAGAGAGGAGGATCTGGATGAAGCAAAAAAGATGTTGATTAAAGACAGACAGAACTTGGAGCTAACTAAATGTGACATCCAGAAACAAAATGGCATTTTGGAAGAAGAGAAACACAAGCTGAAAGAGGAAAGAGACACTTTGGAAATAACTAAGGCTGAGATACACAAGAAGCAAGAACATGCAGATAGTCTGTTTGATGAGATAAACAGACAGAAAACTCAGATTAAAGACATGACCCTTCAGCTAAAGTCAGAAAGAGAACAAATGGAAAACATCATGAACTCGATCACCTTGAAACAAAAAGAACAAGAGCGTAAGGAAGTTGAGCTTGAAGGGCTACAAGAGAAACTGGAAATGCACAAGAACAGTGTAATGTCAGAAAGAGATGAACTGGAAAATTTGAAGGAAGGTCTCAACAAGAAGAAAGAAGGGTTTGAAGCTGATATGACCACCATCAGGGAAGAGAGAGAACAACTCAGTTGGATGAAGACCAATCTGGAGAGGCTACGAGAAATGCTTTCCAATGAAAAACAGGAACTAGATGGACAAAGGGCTGTGCTGAAACAGAAAGATGATGAACTGATGAATCAAATGAAACCGATAGAAATGCTGAGAGTCAAACTTCAACAGCTGAATGAAAAGATGTGTGTAGACCTGAATAACCAAATGGACAGTTTGCAGCAAAAAAATGAAGATCTGCAGACGCTTTACACTGAACTGGAAGGGAAGCTTGAAGGACTCACCAAACAGAAAGAAAACATGTCTGGTTACACCGAGCTGTTGGAGAGAGAAAAGCAAGCCTTGTTAACGCTTGTGTCAGACATGAATCTCCAGGAACAAGTCAAAGAAAACCAATGGCAGCAAATGTTTGAGGTGGAAAGGCATGATCTTCACAAACTAAAGGCAGAGCTGGAGAAAGAGAGGGAGGATCTGGATGAAGCAAAAAAGATGTTGATTAAAGACAGACAGAACTTGGAGCTAACTAAATGTGACATCCAGAAACAAAATGGCATTTTGGAAGAAGAGAAACACAAGCTGAAAGAGGAAAGAGACACTTTGGAAATAACTAAGGCTGAGATACACAAGAAGCAAGAACATGCAGATAGTCTGTTTGATGAGATAAACAGACAGAAAACTCAGATTAAAGACATGACCCTTCAGCTAAAGTCAGAAAGAGAACAAATGGAAAACATCATGAACTCGATCACCTTGAAACAAAAAGAACAAGAGCGTAAGGAAGTTGAGCTTGAAGGGCTACAAGAGAAACTGGAAATGCACAAGAACAGTGTAATGTCAGAAAGAGATGAACTGGAAAATTTGAAGGAAGGTCTCAACAAGAAGAAAGAAGGGTTTGAAGCTGATATGACCACCATCAGGGAAGAGAGAGAACAACTCAGTTGGATGAAGACCAATCTGGAGAGGCTACGAGAAATGCTTTCCAATGAAAAACAGGAACTAGATGGACAAAGGGCTGTGCTGAAACAGAAAGATGATGAACTGATGAATCAAATGAAACCGATAGAAATGCTGAGAGTCAAACTTCAACAGCTGAATGAAAAGATGTGTGTAGACCTGAATAACCAAATGGACAGTTTGCAGCAAAAAAATGAAGATCTGCAGACGCTTTACACTGAACTGGAAGGGAAGCTTGAAGGACTCACCAAACAGAAAGAAAACATGTCTGGTTACACCGAGCTGTTGGAGAGAGAAAAGCAAGCCTTGTTAACGCTTGTGTCAGACATGAATCTCCAGGAACAAGTCAAAGAAAACCAATGGCAGCAAATGTTTGAGGTGGAAAGGCATGATCTTCACAAACTAAAGGCAGAGCTGGAGAAAGAGAGGGAGGATCTGGATGAAGCAAAAAAGATGTTGATTAAAGACAGACAGAACTTGGAGCTAACTAAATGTGACATCCAGAAACAAAATGGCATTTTGGAAGAAGAGAAACACAAGCTGAAAGAGGAAAGAGACACTTTGGAAATAACTAAGGCTGAGATACACAAGAAGCAAGAACATGCAGATAGTCTGTTTGATGAGATAAACAGACAGAAAACTCAGATTAAAGACATGACCCTTCAGCTAAAGTCAGAAAGAGAACAAATGGAAAACATCATGAACTCGATCACCTTGAAACAAAAAGAACAAGAGCGTAAGGAAGTTGAGCTTGAAGGGCTACAAGAGAAACTGGAAATGCACAAGAACAGTGTAATGTCAGAAAGAGATGAACTGGAAAATTTGAAGGAAGGTCTCAACAAGAAGAAAGAAGGGTTTGAAGCTGATATGACCACCATCAGGGAAGAGAGAGAACAACTCAGTTGGATGAAGACCAATCTGGAGAGGCTACGAGAAATGCTTTCCAATGAAAAACAGGAACTAGATGGACAAAGGGCTGTGCTGAAACAGAAAGATGATGAACTGATGAATCAAATGAAACCGATAGAAATGCTGAGAGTCAAACTTCAACAGCTGAATGAAAAGATGTGTGTAGACCTGAATAACCAAATGGACAGTTTGCAGCAAAAAAATGAAGATCTGCAGACGCTTTACACTGAACTGGAAGGGAAGCTTGAAGGACTCACCAAACAGAAAGAAAACATGTCTGGTTACACCGAGCTGTTGGAGAGAGAAAAGCAAGCCTTGTTAACGCTTGTGTCAGACATGAATCTCCAGGAACAAGTCAAAGAAAACCAATGGCAGCAAATGTTTGAGGTGGAAAGGCATGATCTTCACAAACTAAAGGCAGAGCTGGAGAAAGAGAGGGAGGATCTGGATGAAGCAAAAAAGATGTTGATTAAAGACAGACAGAACTTGGAGCTAACTAAATGTGACATCCAGAAACAAAATGGCATTTTGGAAGAAGAGAAACACAAGCTGAAAGAGGAAAGAGACACTTTGGAAATAACTAAGGCTGAGATACACAAGAAGCAAGAACATGCAGATAGTCTGTTTGATGAGATAAACAGACAGAAAACTCAGATTAAAGACATGACCCTTCAGCTAAAGTCAGAAAGAGAACAAATGGAAAACATCATGAACTCGATCACCTTGAAACAAAAAGAACAAGAGCGTAAGGAAGTTGAGCTTGAAGGGCTACAAGAGAAACTGGAAATGCACAAGAACAGTGTAATGTCAGAAAGAGATGAACTGGAAAATTTGAAGGAAGGTCTCAACAAGAAGAAAGAAGGGTTTGAAGCTGATATGACCACCATCAGGGAAGAGAGAGAACAACTCAGTTGGATGAAGACCAATCTGGAGAGGCTACGAGAAATGCTTTCCAATGAAAAACAGGAACTAGATGGACAAAGGGCTGTGCTGAAACAGAAAGATGATGAACTGATGAATCAAATGAAACCGATAGAAATGCTGAGAGTCAAACTTCAACAGCTGAATGAAAAGATGTGTGTAGACCTGAATAACCAAATGGACAGTTTGCAGCAAAAAAATGAAGATCTGCAGACGCTTTACACTGAACTGGAAGGGAAGCTTGAAGGACTCACCAAACAGAAAGAAAACATGTCTGGTTACACCGAGCTGTTGGAGAGAGAAAAGCAAGCCTTGTTAACGCTTGTGTCAGACATGAATCTCCAGGAACAAGTCAAAGAAAACCAATGGCAGCAAATGTTTGAGGTGGAAAGGCATGATCTTCACAAACTAAAGGCAGAGCTGGAGAAAGAGAGGGAGGATCTGGATGAAGCAAAAAAGATGTTGATTAAAGACAGACAGAACTTGGAGCTAACTAAATGTGACATCCAGAAACAAAATGGCATTTTGGAAGAAGAGAAACACAAGCTGAAAGAGGAAAGAGACACTTTGGAAATAACTAAGGCTGAGATACACAAGAAGCAAGAACATGCAGATAGTCTGTTTGATGAGATAAACAGACAGAAAACTCAGATTAAAGACATGACCCTTCAGCTAAAGTCAGAAAGAGAACAAATGGAAAACATCATGAACTCGATCACCTTGAAACAAAAAGAACAAGAGCGTAAGGAAGTTGAGCTTGAAGGGCTACAAGAGAAACTGGAAATGCACAAGAACAGTGTAATGTCAGAAAGAGATGAACTGGAAAATTTGAAGGAAGGTCTCAACAAGAAGAAAGAAGGGTTTGAAGCTGATATGACCACCATCAGGGAAGAGAGAGAACAACTCAGTTGGATGAAGACCAATCTGGAGAGGCTACGAGAAATGCTTTCCAATGAAAAACAGGAACTAGATGGACAAAGGGCTGTGCTGAAACAGAAAGATGATGAACTGATGAATCAAATGAAACCGATAGAAATGCTGAGAGTCAAACTTCAACAGCTGAATGAAAAGATGTGTGTAGACCTGAATAACCAAATGGACAGTTTGCAGCAAAAAAATGAAGATCTGCAGACGCTTTACACTGAACTGGAAGGGAAGCTTGAAGGACTCACCAAACAGAAAGAAAACATGTCTGGTTACACCGAGCTGTTGGAGAGAGAAAAGCAAGCCTTGTTAACGCTTGTGTCAGACATGAATCTCCAGGAACAAGTCAAAGAAAACCAATGGCAGCAAATGTTTGAGGTGGAAAGGCATGATCTTCACAAACTAAAGGCAGAGCTGGAGAAAGAGAGGGAGGATCTGGATGAAGCAAAAAAGATGTTGATTAAAGACAGACAGAACTTGGAGCTAACTAAATGTGACATCCAGAAACAAAATGGCATTTTGGAAGAAGAGAAACACAAGCTGAAAGAGGAAAGAGACACTTTGGAAATAACTAAGGCTGAGATACACAAGAAGCAAGAACATGCAGATAGTCTGTTTGATGAGATAAACAGACAGAAAACTCAGATTAAAGACATGACCCTTCAGCTAAAGTCAGAAAGAGAACAAATGGAAAACATCATGAACTCGATCACCTTGAAACAAAAAGAACAAGAGCGTAAGGAAGTTGAGCTTGAAGGGCTACAAGAGAAACTGGAAATGCACAAGAACAGTGTAATGTCAGAAAGAGATGAACTGGAAAATTTGAAGGAAGGTCTCAACAAGAAGAAAGAAGGGTTTGAAGCTGATATGACCACCATCAGGGAAGAGAGAGAACAACTCAGTTGGATGAAGACCAATCTGGAGAGGCTACGAGAAATGCTTTCCAATGAAAAACAGGAACTAGATGGACAAAGGGCTGTGCTGAAACAGAAAGATGATGAACTGATGAATCAAATGAAACCGATAGAAATGCTGAGAGTCAAACTTCAACAGCTGAATGAAAAGATGTGTGTAGACCTGAATAACCAAATGGACAGTTTGCAGCAAAAAAATGAAGATCTGCAGACGCTTTACACTGAACTGGAAGGGAAGCTTGAAGGACTCACCAAACAGAAAGAAAACATGTCTGGTTACACCGAGCTGTTGGAGAGAGAAAAGCAAGCCTTGTTAACGCTTGTGTCAGACATGAATCTCCAGGAACAAGTCAAAGAAAACCAATGGCAGCAAATGTTTGAGGTGGAAAGGCATGATCTTCACAAACTAAAGGCAGAGCTGGAGAAAGAGAGGGAGGATCTGGATGAAGCAAAAAAGATGTTGATTAAAGACAGACAGAACTTGGAGCTAACTAAATGTGACATCCAGAAACAAAATGGCATTTTGGAAGAAGAGAAACACAAGCTGAAAGAGGAAAGAGACACTTTGGAAATAACTAAGGCTGAGATACACAAGAAGCAAGAACATGCAGATAGTCTGTTTGATGAGATAAACAGACAGAAAACTCAGATTAAAGACATGACCCTTCAGCTAAAGTCAGAAAGAGAACAAATGGAAAACATCATGAACTCGATCACCTTGAAACAAAAAGAACAAGAGCGTAAGGAAGTTGAGCTTGAAGGGCTACAAGAGAAACTGGAAATGCACAAGAACAGTGTAATGTCAGAAAGAGATGAACTGGAAAATTTGAAGGAAGGTCTCAACAAGAAGAAAGAAGGGTTTGAAGCTGATATGACCACCATCAGGGAAGAGAGAGAACAACTCAGTTGGATGAAGACCAATCTGGAGAGGCTACGAGAAATGCTTTCCAATGAAAAACAGGAACTAGATGGACAAAGGGCTGTGCTGAAACAGAAAGATGATGAACTGATGAATCAAATGAAACCGATAGAAATGCTGAGAGTCAAACTTCAACAGCTGAATGAAAAGATGTGTGTAGACCTGAATAACCAAATGGACAGTTTGCAGCAAAAAAATGAAGATCTGCAGACGCTTTACACTGAACTGGAAGGGAAGCTTGAAGGACTCACCAAACAGAAAGAAAACATGTCTGGTTACACCGAGCTGTTGGAGAGAGAAAAGCAAGCCTTGTTAACGCTTGTGTCAGACATGAATCTCCAGGAACAAGTCAAAGAAAACCAATGGCAGCAAATGTTTGAGGTGGAAAGGCATGATCTTCACAAACTAAAGGCAGAGCTGGAGAAAGAGAGGGAGGATCTGGATGAAGCAAAAAAGATGTTGATTAAAGACAGACAGAACTTGGAGCTAACTAAATGTGACATCCAGAAACAAAATGGCATTTTGGAAGAAGAGAAACACAAGCTGAAAGAGGAAAGAGACACTTTGGAAATAACTAAGGCTGAGATACACAAGAAGCAAGAACATGCAGATAGTCTGTTTGATGAGATAAACAGACAGAAAACTCAGATTAAAGACATGACCCTTCAGCTAAAGTCAGAAAGAGAACAAATGGAAAACATCATGAACTCGATCACCTTGAAACAAAAAGAACAAGAGCGTAAGGAAGTTGAGCTTGAAGGGCTACAAGAGAAACTGGAAATGCACAAGAACAGTGTAATGTCAGAAAGAGATGAACTGGAAAATTTGAAGGAAGGTCTCAACAAGAAGAAAGAAGGGTTTGAAGCTGATATGACCACCATCAGGGAAGAGAGAGAACAACTCAGTTGGATGAAGACCAATCTGGAGAGGCTACGAGAAATGCTTTCCAATGAAAAACAGGAACTAGATGGACAAAGGGCTGTGCTGAAACAGAAAGATGATGAACTGATGAATCAAATGAAACCGATAGAAATGCTGAGAGTCAAACTTCAACAGCTGAATGAAAAGATGTGTGTAGACCTGAATAACCAAATGGACAGTTTGCAGCAAAAAAATGAAGATCTGCAGACGCTTTACACTGAACTGGAAGGGAAGCTTGAAGGACTCACCAAACAGAAAGAAAACATGTCTGGTTACACCGAGCTGTTGGAGAGAGAAAAGCAAGCCTTGTTAACGCTTGTGTCAGACATGAATCTCCAGGAACAAGTCAAAGAAAACCAATGGCAGCAAATGTTTGAGGTGGAAAGGCATGATCTTCACAAACTAAAGGCAGAGCTGGAGAAAGAGAGGGAGGATCTGGATGAAGCAAAAAAGATGTTGATTAAAGACAGACAGAACTTGGAGCTAACTAAATGTGACATCCAGAAACAAAATGGCATTTTGGAAGAAGAGAAACACAAGCTGAAAGAGGAAAGAGACACTTTGGAAATAACTAAGGCTGAGATACACAAGAAGCAAGAACATGCAGATAGTCTGTTTGATGAGATAAACAGACAGAAAACTCAGATTAAAGACATGACCCTTCAGCTAAAGTCAGAAAGAGAACAAATGGAAAACATCATGAACTCGATCACCTTGAAACAAAAAGAACAAGAGCGTAAGGAAGTTGAGCTTGAAGGGCTACAAGAGAAACTGGAAATGCACAAGAACAGTGTAATGTCAGAAAGAGATGAACTGGAAAATTTGAAGGAAGGTCTCAACAAGAAGAAAGAAGGGTTTGAAGCTGATATGACCACCATCAGGGAAGAGAGAGAACAACTCAGTTGGATGAAGACCAATCTGGAGAGGCTACGAGAAATGCTTTCCAATGAAAAACAGGAACTAGATGGACAAAGGGCTGTGCTGAAACAGAAAGATGATGAACTGATGAATCAAATGAAACCGATAGAAATGCTGAGAGTCAAACTTCAACAGCTGAATGAAAAGATGTGTGTAGACCTGAATAACCAAATGGACAGTTTGCAGCAAAAAAATGAAGATCTGCAGACGCTTTACACTGAACTGGAAGGGAAGCTTGAAGGACTCACCAAACAGAAAGAAAACATGTCTGGTTACACCGAGCTGTTGGAGAGAGAAAAGCAAGCCTTGTTAACGCTTGTGTCAGACATGAATCTCCAGGAACAAGTCAAAGAAAACCAATGGCAGCAAATGTTTGAGGTGGAAAGGCATGATCTTCACAAACTAAAGGCAGAGCTGGAGAAAGAGAGGGAGGATCTGGATGAAGCAAAAAAGATGTTGATTAAAGACAGACAGAACTTGGAGCTAACTAAATGTGACATCCAGAAACAAAATGGCATTTTGGAAGAAGAGAAACACAAGCTGAAAGAGGAAAGAGACACTTTGGAAATAACTAAGGCTGAGATACACAAGAAGCAAGAACATGCAGATAGTCTGTTTGATGAGATAAACAGACAGAAAACTCAGATTAAAGACATGACCCTTCAGCTAAAGTCAGAAAGAGAACAAATGGAAAACATCATGAACTCGATCACCTTGAAACAAAAAGAACAAGAGCGTAAGGAAGTTGAGCTTGAAGGGCTACAAGAGAAACTGGAAATGCACAAGAACAGTGTAATGTCAGAAAGAGATGAACTGGAAAATTTGAAGGAAGGTCTCAACAAGAAGAAAGAAGGGTTTGAAGCTGATATGACCACCATCAGGGAAGAGAGAGAACAACTCAGTTGGATGAAGACCAATCTGGAGAGGCTACGAGAAATGCTTTCCAATGAAAAACAGGAACTAGATGGACAAAGGGCTGTGCTGAAACAGAAAGATGATGAACTGATGAATCAAATGAAACCGATAGAAATGCTGAGAGTCAAACTTCAACAGCTGAATGAAAAGATGTGTGTAGACCTGAATAACCAAATGGACAGTTTGCAGCAAAAAAATGAAGATCTGCAGACGCTTTACACTGAACTGGAAGGGAAGCTTGAAGGACTCACCAAACAGAAAGAAAACATGTCTGGTTACACCGAGCTGTTGGAGAGAGAAAAGCAAGCCTTGTTAACGCTTGTGTCAGACATGAATCTCCAGGAACAAGTCAAAGAAAACCAATGGCAGCAAATGTTTGAGGTGGAAAGGCATGATCTTCACAAACTAAAGGCAGAGCTGGAGAAAGAGAGGGAGGATCTGGATGAAGCAAAAAAGATGTTGATTAAAGACAGACAGAACTTGGAGCTAACTAAATGTGACATCCAGAAACAAAATGGCATTTTGGAAGAAGAGAAACACAAGCTGAAAGAGGAAAGAGACACTTTGGAAATAACTAAGGCTGAGATACACAAGAAGCAAGAACATGCAGATAGTCTGTTTGATGAGATAAACAGACAGAAAACTCAGATTAAAGACATGACCCTTCAGCTAAAGTCAGAAAGAGAACAAATGGAAAACATCATGAACTCGATCACCTTGAAACAAAAAGAACAAGAGCGTAAGGAAGTTGAGCTTGAAGGGCTACAAGAGAAACTGGAAATGCACAAGAACAGTGTAATGTCAGAAAGAGATGAACTGGAAAATTTGAAGGAAGGTCTCAACAAGAAGAAAGAAGGGTTTGAAGCTGATATGACCACCATCAGGGAAGAGAGAGAACAACTCAGTTGGATGAAGACCAATCTGGAGAGGCTACGAGAAATGCTTTCCAATGAAAAACAGGAACTAGATGGACAAAGGGCTGTGCTGAAACAGAAAGATGATGAACTGATGAATCAAATGAAACCGATAGAAATGCTGAGAGTCAAACTTCAACAGCTGAATGAAAAGATGTGTGTAGACCTGAATAACCAAATGGACAGTTTGCAGCAAAAAAATGAAGATCTGCAGACGCTTTACACTGAACTGGAAGGGAAGCTTGAAGGACTCACCAAACAGAAAGAAAACATGTCTGGTTACACCGAGCTGTTGGAGAGAGAAAAGCAAGCCTTGTTAACGCTTGTGTCAGACATGAATCTCCAGGAACAAGTCAAAGAAAACCAATGGCAGCAAATGTTTGAGGTGGAAAGGCATGATCTTCACAAACTAAAGGCAGAGCTGGAGAAAGAGAGGGAGGATCTGGATGAAGCAAAAAAGATGTTGATTAAAGACAGACAGAACTTGGAGCTAACTAAATGTGACATCCAGAAACAAAATGGCATTTTGGAAGAAGAGAAACACAAGCTGAAAGAGGAAAGAGACACTTTGGAAATAACTAAGGCTGAGATACACAAGAAGCAAGAACATGCAGATAGTCTGTTTGATGAGATAAACAGACAGAAAACTCAGATTAAAGACATGACCCTTCAGCTAAAGTCAGAAAGAGAACAAATGGAAAACATCATGAACTCGATCACCTTGAAACAAAAAGAACAAGAGCGTAAGGAAGTTGAGCTTGAAGGGCTACAAGAGAAACTGGAAATGCACAAGAACAGTGTAATGTCAGAAAGAGATGAACTGGAAAATTTGAAGGAAGGTCTCAACAAGAAGAAAGAAGGGTTTGAAGCTGATATGACCACCATCAGGGAAGAGAGAGAACAACTCAGTTGGATGAAGACCAATCTGGAGAGGCTACGAGAAATGCTTTCCAATGAAAAACAGGAACTAGATGGACAAAGGGCTGTGCTGAAACAGAAAGATGATGAACTGATGAATCAAATGAAACCGATAGAAATGCTGAGAGTCAAACTTCAACAGCTGAATGAAAAGATGTGTGTAGACCTGAATAACCAAATGGACAGTTTGCAGCAAAAAAATGAAGATCTGCAGACGCTTTACACTGAACTGGAAGGGAAGCTTGAAGGACTCACCAAACAGAAAGAAAACATGTCTGGTTACACCGAGCTGTTGGAGAGAGAAAAGCAAGCCTTGTTAACGCTTGTGTCAGACATGAATCTCCAGGAACAAGTCAAAGAAAACCAATGGCAGCAAATGTTTGAGGTGGAAAGGCATGATCTTCACAAACTAAAGGCAGAGCTGGAGAAAGAGAGGGAGGATCTGGATGAAGCAAAAAAGATGTTGATTAAAGACAGACAGAACTTGGAGCTAACTAAATGTGACATCCAGAAACAAAATGGCATTTTGGAAGAAGAGAAACACAAGCTGAAAGAGGAAAGAGACACTTTGGAAATAACTAAGGCTGAGATACACAAGAAGCAAGAACATGCAGATAGTCTGTTTGATGAGATAAACAGACAGAAAACTCAGATTAAAGACATGACCCTTCAGCTAAAGTCAGAAAGAGAACAAATGGAAAACATCATGAACTCGATCACCTTGAAACAAAAAGAACAAGAGCGTAAGGAAGTTGAGCTTGAAGGGCTACAAGAGAAACTGGAAATGCACAAGAACAGTGTAATGTCAGAAAGAGATGAACTGGAAAATTTGAAGGAAGGTCTCAACAAGAAGAAAGAAGGGTTTGAAGCTGATATGACCACCATCAGGGAAGAGAGAGAACAACTCAGTTGGATGAAGACCAATCTGGAGAGGCTACGAGAAATGCTTTCCAATGAAAAACAGGAACTAGATGGACAAAGGGCTGTGCTGAAACAGAAAGATGATGAACTGATGAATCAAATGAAACCGATAGAAATGCTGAGAGTCAAACTTCAACAGCTGAATGAAAAGATGTGTGTAGACCTGAATAACCAAATGGACAGTTTGCAGCAAAAAAATGAAGATCTGCAGACGCTTTACACTGAACTGGAAGGGAAGCTTGAAGGACTCACCAAACAGAAAGAAAACATGTCTGGTTACACCGAGCTGTTGGAGAGAGAAAAGCAAGCCTTGTTAACGCTTGTGTCAGACATGAATCTCCAGGAACAAGTCAAAGAAAACCAATGGCAGCAAATGTTTGAGGTGGAAAGGCATGATCTTCACAAACTAAAGGCAGAGCTGGAGAAAGAGAGGGAGGATCTGGATGAAGCAAAAAAGATGTTGATTAAAGACAGACAGAACTTGGAGCTAACTAAATGTGACATCCAGAAACAAAATGGCATTTTGGAAGAAGAGAAACACAAGCTGAAAGAGGAAAGAGACACTTTGGAAATAACTAAGGCTGAGATACACAAGAAGCAAGAACATGCAGATAGTCTGTTTGATGAGATAAACAGACAGAAAACTCAGATTAAAGACATGACCCTTCAGCTAAAGTCAGAAAGAGAACAAATGGAAAACATCATGAACTCGATCACCTTGAAACAAAAAGAACAAGAGCGTAAGGAAGTTGAGCTTGAAGGGCTACAAGAGAAACTGGAAATGCACAAGAACAGTGTAATGTCAGAAAGAGATGAACTGGAAAATTTGAAGGAAGGTCTCAACAAGAAGAAAGAAGGGTTTGAAGCTGATATGACCACCATCAGGGAAGAGAGAGAACAACTCAGTTGGATGAAGACCAATCTGGAGAGGCTACGAGAAATGCTTTCCAATGAAAAACAGGAACTAGATGGACAAAGGGCTGTGCTGAAACAGAAAGATGATGAACTGATGAATCAAATGAAACCGATAGAAATGCTGAGAGTCAAACTTCAACAGCTGAATGAAAAGATGTGTGTAGACCTGAATAACCAAATGGACAGTTTGCAGCAAAAAAATGAAGATCTGCAGACGCTTTACACTGAACTGGAAGGGAAGCTTGAAGGACTCACCAAACAGAAAGAAAACATGTCTGGTTACACCGAGCTGTTGGAGAGAGAAAAGCAAGCCTTGTTAACGCTTGTGTCAGACATGAATCTCCAGGAACAAGTCAAAGAAAACCAATGGCAGCAAATGTTTGAGGTGGAAAGGCATGATCTTCACAAACTAAAGGCAGAGCTGGAGAAAGAGAGGGAGGATCTGGATGAAGCAAAAAAGATGTTGATTAAAGACAGACAGAACTTGGAGCTAACTAAATGTGACATCCAGAAACAAAATGGCATTTTGGAAGAAGAGAAACACAAGTTGAAAGAGGAAAGAGACACTTTGGAAATAACTAAGGCTGAGATACACAAGAAGCAAGAACATGCAGATAGTCTGTTTGATGAGATAAACAGACAGAAAACTCAGATTAAAGACATGACCCTTCAGCTAAAGTCAGAAAGAGAACAAATGGAAAACATCATGAACTCGATCACCTTGAAACAAAAAGAACAAGAGCGTAAGGAAGTTGAGCTTGAAGGGCTACAAGAGAAACTGGAAATGCACAAGAACAGTGTAATGTCAGAAAGAGATGAACTGGAAAATTTGAAGGAAGGTCTCAACAAGAAGAAAGAAGGGTTTGAAGCTGATATGACCACCATCAGGGAAGAGAGAGAACAACTCAGTTGGATGAAGACCAATCTGGAGAGGCTACGAGAAATGCTTTCCAATGAAAAACAGGAACTAGATGGACAAAGGGCTGTGCTGAAACAGAAAGATGATGAACTGATGAATCAAATGAAACCGATAGAAATGCTGAGAGTCAAACTTCAACAGCTGAATGAAAAGATGTGTGTAGACCTGAATAACCAAATGGACAGTTTGCAGCAAAAAAATGAAGATCTGCAGACGCTTTACACTGAACTGGAAGGGAAGCTTGAAGGACTCACCAAACAGAAAGAAAACATGTCTGGTTACACCGAGCTGTTGGAGAGAGAAAAGCAAGCCTTGTTAACGCTTGTGTCAGACATGAATCTCCAGGAACAAGTCAAAGAAAACCAATGGCAGCAAATGTTTGAGGTGGAAAGGCATGATCTTCACAAACTAAAGGCAGAGCTGGAGAAAGAGAGGGAGGATCTGGATGAAGCAAAAAAGATGTTGATTAAAGACAGACAGAACTTGGAGCTAACTAAATGTGACATCCAGAAACAAAATGGCATTTTGGAAGAAGAGAAACACAAGTTGAAAGAGGAAAGAGACACTTTGGAAATAACTAAGGCTGAGATACACAAGAAGCAAGAACATGCAGATAGTCTGTTTGATGAGATAAACAGACAGAAAACTCAGATTAAAGACATGACCCTTCAGCTAAAGTCAGAAAGAGAACAAATGGAAAACATCATGAACTCGATCACCTTGAAACAAAAAGAACAAGAGCGTAAGGAAGTTGAGCTTGAAGGGCTACAAGAGAAACTGGAAATGCACAAGAACAGTGTAATGTCAGAAAGAGATGAACTGGAAAATTTGAAGGAAGGTCTCAACAAGAAGAAAGAAGGGTTTGAAGCTGATATGACCACCATCAGGGAAGAGAGAGAACAACTCAGTTGGATGAAGACCAATCTGGAGAGGCTACGAGAAATGCTTTCCAATGAAAAACAGGAACTAGATGGACAAAGGGCTGTGCTGAAACAGAAAGATGATGAACTGATGAATCAAATGAAACCGATAGAAATGCTGAGAGTCAAACTTCAACAGCTGAATGAAAAGATGTGTGTAGACCTGAATAACCAAATGGACAGTTTGCAGCAAAAAAATGAAGATCTGCAGACGCTTTACACTGAACTGGAAGGGAAGCTTGAAGGACTCACCAAACAGAAAGAAAACATGTCTGGTTACACCGAGCTGTTGGAGAGAGAAAAGCAAGCCTTGTTAACGCTTGTGTCAGACATGAATCTCCAGGAACAAGTCAAAGAAAACCAATGGCAGCAAATGTTTGAGGTGGAAAGGCATGATCTTCACAAACTAAAGGCAGAGCTGGAGAAAGAGAGGGAGGATCTGGATGAAGCAAAAAAGATGTTGATTAAAGACAGACAGAACTTGGAGCTAACTAAATGTGACATCCAGAAACAAAATGGCATTTTGGAAGAAGAGAAACACAAGCTGAAAGAGGAAAGAGACACTTTGGAAATAACTAAGGCTGAGATACACAAGAAGCAAGAACATGCAGATAGTCTGTTTGATGAGATAAACAGACAGAAAACTCAGATTAAAGACATGACCCTTCAGCTAAAGTCAGAAAGAGAACAAATGGAAAACATCATGAACTCGATCACCTTGAAACAAAAGAACAAGAGCGTAAGGAAGTTGAGCTTGAAGGGCTACAAGAGAAACTGGAAATGCACAAGAACAGTGTAATGTCAGAAAGAGATGAACTGGAAAATTTGAAGGAAGGTCTCAACAAGAAGAAAGAAGGGTTTGAAGCTGATATGACCACCATCAGGGAAGAGAGAGAACAACTCAGTTGGATGAAGACCAATCTGGAGAGGCTACGAGAAATGCTTTCCAATGAAAAACAGGAACTAGATGGACAAAGGGCTGTGCTGAAACAGAAAGATGATGAACTGATGAATCAAATGAAACCGATAGAAATGCTGAGAGTCAAACTTCAACAGCTGAATGAAAAGATGTGTGTAGACCTGAATAACCAAATGGACAGTTTGCAGCAAAAAAATGAAGATCTGCAGACGCTTTACACTGAACTGGAAGGGAAGCTTGAAGGACTCACCAAACAGAAAGAAAACATGTCTGGTTACACCGAGCTGTTGGAGAGAGAAAAGCAAGCCTTGTTAACGCTTGTGTCAGACATGAATCTCCAGGAACAAGTCAAAGAAAACCAATGGCAGCAAATGTTTGAGGTGGAAAGGCATGATCTTCACAAACTAAAGGCAGAGCTGGAGAAAGAGAGGGAGGATCTGGATGAAGCAAAAAAGATGTTGATTAAAGACAGACAGAACTTGGAGCTAACTAAATGTGACATCCAGAAACAAAATGGCATTTTGGAAGAAGAGAAACACAAGTTGAAAGAGGAAAGAGACACTTTGGAAATAACTAAGGCTGAGATACACAAGAAGCAAGAACATGCAGATAGTCTGTTTGATGAGATGAACAGACAGAAAACTCAGATTGAAGATATGACCCTTCAGGTAAAGTTAGAAAGAGAAAACAGTCCAAAAGAAATTGTAATTTCAAAGTCTGAAATTGCAACACAAACTGACGATACAGTAACAGAAGGGATACAGGAGCAAGATTTCAGTATGCAGGCCTTGAATAATCTTCCAGAGTCTGAATCTGAATCTGGTGTACCGTCACAAACAAAGCATTATGATCAGCCCTTTGGGATAAATAAAGCATATCAACATCATCTCACAGAAGATAAGAAGTTAAAAAGGGATACTTTGCAAAACATCTGGAAGGACACTAAAAAAGAGCAGAAAGAAATAAGTCACATGAAGCATAGGAGTCATAAAATTAAAAACAACCTGACAAAGAGACTCCAGGATTTCAATCAGTTTTTCAAGGGGGCATGGTTACTGAAAGAACCATTAGAGAAGAAAAATATTGAACAATTAACTCAATTCAGGAGGTATCAATGTGATTGTGAGAAAGACCACAAAACACTAGATGAAAAATACTCAGAGCTCCAACAACTTAAGGTCCACATGCTTACTGAGATTGAGAAACTGCAGAATGACACAAGGTCCATGACAACCCTGATAACGAGCCACAAGGACAATGAAACCGCAATAGAGGAAATAATGGCAGGGAAGACAATAAAACAAACTTCTTCAAAAACATATCAAGGGGAGATAAGAGACGAGGCTGAAGCACCTCCAGTATCAAACAATGGACTCCTTGGTCAGCTCTGGCATCACTGCTATGGCTGCTGCTGTGAGACTGTGTCTGAAAAATAGAATTGGGAAACATGTCTTCTCGTCCTAACTCTTGTGTTAATTTAAACTGCAGCTTATTTAGAAACATGTATTTGATTTTCTATTTCATTATTAACATCAACATTATTAAACAAGTTTTATTTTATGCCTAGTTGTGTTTTTTTGTAGTCCAGAAATATAAATATTTAAAAGGACTTGTATAAGTTTTGCGAACTTTAAAGGAATTGATGTGAAATGCTTTATAATTGATGCCTCCTAACTTTTCTTTTCTACATGTCTACATGTTACTGGAGCTATGAGTGCAGAAAGTTCACTGAAAATGGCTTCATTTGACAATTTGATTCTGATTCCTACTTTAAACCTTATCCTTTAACATTCTTTTTAAAAGTTATGCTCTTATTAAATCCACATAGTATTTGTAGTACTGGATACATGCTGTTTACAACCCTTTCCGTGACGTGCCACATTTATTTAAGAAACATTAAATGGTAAATGGACTTGAGCTTATATAGCGCTTTTCTAGTCTTCCGACTACTCAAAGCGCTTTTACACTGCATGTCACACCCACCCATTCATACCCTTTCACACACTGATGGTAGTGATCGCTATGCAATATCATCCAGCAGAAGTAACTAATTCCATTCATACACCACCACTGAAGCAGAGGGGGCAATTCAGGGTTAAGTGTCTTGCCCAAGGACACAATGGACATGTTGCTCAGCTGGGACGACTCTACCAACTGAGCCACAGCCGCCCTGCATTAAGGATGTAAAGAAATATTGCAACCTTAGACACTGTTTCACAGTGAAGGTTCTATGATGTTATTTTTCTTAAATAAAGCAACAAATTGGTGTGAATTATGTTTTTTATTCAAACCGTTTCAATTTCAAGAATAAATGGCACATTGTCCCGCTAGGTTTTTGTCAATGTTTAGATTAGAATATGACATATGAACCGGTTAAATAATAACCAAAGATAGTTTACTGTAAATGAAATATGTGTGTTTTAAAGCTTTAACTGATCTGTCTACCCTAATGTCCTCTGGCAGGATGTTACACAATACCGGTGCTCAAACAGAGAAAGCACAGTCATGTTTTGAGCATGCAGTGTAACATCTATAAATACAAGTCATTTGGTAGAGGATCTCCAGATGTCAGTTCATAAAAAATTAAAAGGTCTGCAATATATCCAGGGGCTAAACCTGAACCTCAAAACAATCAGTTGGATCTTAAAATTAATTAAAAAACATACTGTAAGCCAGTGTATTTGAGCTGAAACAGGAGTGATGGTCTCTACAGTATATTCTTGAAGAGAAGGCGTGTCATGTTTATTGAAGAAACAAAGAAGAGAACCAAAGTGCAGAAGCTATACAAAAATTATTTATTTAAAAAAAAAAAACAGCCATTAGGCAAAACAAGGCTTACTTCAAAAAATTTCCAAACTGAAAAAATCCACTAAAGGTAAAAAGCACAGGGAGCCACAAGCCTCAATCACTAATATGCGCGTAGAAATGTTTTTACTCTGCGCATACGCAAAATCACTGTCGGATTCATGACACGTGCGTACCAGCATATTTTGTTCTCACCACCAGGCGTATGTGAGTGAATCAGAATCAATCTTAATCAACAGGCGCGTGCCTGCAACCTGCATACTACCACACCCCCCATCTCTCCATGTAAAGACTTCCAATTGGTGTATCAAGACGAGAGCTGTGAGATGGAGACACGTAGAAGTTGAAAGAGATCGCCCAAAAAGGTAAGAAAGAGCGGTGTGTCTGGGGACTTGGTGCATTCAGGTGGTGTCGGATAAATCGGGAAAACAATTTTCCGAGTTATAAAATACACAAGAACACCTGCTCAAGTCGGAACAACAACTCGGAAAAGAATTAGGTGACCAACTTCCCGACTTAACATCAGGCTTGTCATCACATGGAGGGCAAAATATGTTTAGTTAATGTTAACTTACTTTTTATTAATTCACGTATTGTACATCAACCTTTGGCTTAAACAACGTGTAACAGCTACATTTCATAGCTCTTCTTCGTAGCATCAACGCAATTTTTTGCTGTTGATACATCATTCAGACTTTCTGAATTAAAATCAAGTGAACACACTGAAGTCTGAACAACGACTTCCCAACTCAGAAACTTGGACCTCCCTTGCAGCAGCTCCTTAAGGGAGGGGGGGGGGGTTAGGAAGATTCTATGGACCCATGACTAACAGGGGCCCAAACAAATATTAAAACATGAATTGTTTTTATTCATAAACAGTTTGTGCGTCTGTCTTTGTGTGAGTGTTGTGATGAGTTTGTGCGTGTCTCTTTGTGAGTCTGTGTTTTGATTATGAGTTTTTGCGACTGTCTTTGTGTGAGTGTTGTGATGAGTTTGTGCTTAAGTCTTTATGTGGGTCTGTGTTGTGATGAGTTTGTGCTTAAGTCTTTATGTGAGTCTGTGTTGTGATGAGTTTGTGTGTCTCTTTTCATGTGAGTCTGTGTTTTGATGAATTTGTGCGTCTGTCTTTGTGATGAGTTTGTGTTGTGATGAGTTTGTGTGTCTGTTTTTGTATGAGTCTGTGTTGTGATGATAAGTTTGTGCGTCTGTCTTTGTGAGTCTGTGTTGTGATGAGTTTGTGCGTCTGTCTTTGTGTGAGTGTTGTGATGAATTTGTGCGTCTGTCTTTGTGTGAGTGTTGTGATGAGTTTGTGTCTGTCTTTGTGTGAGTGTTGTGATGAGTTTGTGCGTCTGTTTTTGTGTGAGTGTTGTGATGAGTTTGTGCGTAAGTCTTTATGTGAGTCTGTGTTGTGATGAGTTTGAGCGTCTCTCTTTGTGTTAGTCTGTGTTTTGATGATGAGATTGTGCGTCTGTCTTTGTGTGAGTCTGTGTTGTGATGAGTTTGTGTGTCTGTCTTTGTATGAGTCTGTGTTGTGATGAGTTTGTGCGTCTGTCTTTGTGTGAGTGTTGTGATGAGTTTGTGTGTCTGTCTTTGTGTGAGTGTTGTGATGAGTTTGTGTGTCTGTCTTTGTGTGAGTGTTGTGATGAGTTTGTGCGTGTCTCTTCGTGTGAGTCTGTGTTTTGATTATGAGTTTGTGCGTCTGTCTTTGTGTGAGTGTTGTGATAAGTTTTTGTGACTGTCTTTGTGTGAGTCTGTGTTGTGATGAATTTGTGCGTCTGTCTTCGTGTCAGTCAGTGTTGTGATGAGTTTGTGCGTCTGTCTTTATGTGAGTGTTGTGATGAGTTTGTGCGTCTGTCTTTATGTGAGTGTTGTGATGAGATGGTGCGTCTCTTTTTGTTTGAGTGCTGTGATGAGTTTGTGCGTCTGTCTTTGTGTGAGTGTTGTGATGAGTTTGTGTGTCTGTCTTTGTGTGAGTGTTGTGATGACTTTGTGCGTCTGTCTTTGTATGAGTGTTGTGATGAGTTTGTACGTCTGTCTTTATGTGAGTCTGTGTTGTGATGAGTTTGTGCGTCTGTCTTTGTGTGAGTGTTGTGATGAATTTGTGCGTCTGTCTTTGTGTGAGTGTTGTGATGAGTTTGTGTCTGTCTTTGTGTGAGTGTTGTGATGAGTTTGTGCGTCTGTTTTTGTGTGAGTGTTGTGATGAGTTTGTGCGTAAGTCTTTATGTGAGTCTGTGTTGTGATGAGTTTGAGCGTCTCTCTTTGTGTTAGTCTGTGTTTTGATGATGAGATTGTGCGTCTGTCTTTGTGTGAGTCTGTGTTGTGATGAGTTTGTGTGTCTGTCTTTGTATGAGTCTGTGTTGTGATGAGTTTGTGCGTCTGTCTTTGTGTGAGTGTTGTGATGAGTTTGTGTGTCTGTCTTTGTGTGAGTGTTGTGATGAGTTTGTGTGTCTGTCTTTGTGTGAGTGTTGTGATGAGTTTGTGCGTGTCTCTTCGTGTGAGTCTGTGTTTTGATTATGAGTTTGTGCGTCTGTCTTTGTGTGAGTGTTGTGATAAGTTTTTGTGACTGTCTTTGTGTGAGTCTGTGTTGTGATGAATTTGTGCGTCTGTCTTCGTGTCAGTCAGTGTTGTGATGAGTTTGTGCGTCTGTCTTTATGTGAGTGTTGTGATGAGTTTGTGCGTCTGTCTTTATGTGAGTGTTGTGATGAGATGGTGCGTCTCTTTTTGTTTGAGTGCTGTGATGAGTTTGTGCGTCTGTCTTTGTGTGAGTGTTGTGATGAGTTTGTGTGTCTGTCTTTGTGTGAGTGTTGTGATGACTTTGTGCGTCTGTCTTTGTATGAGTGTTGTGATGAGTTTGTACGTCTGTCTTTATGTGAGTCTGTGTTGTGATGAGTTTGTGCGTCTGTCTTTGTATGAGTGTTGTGATGAGTTTGTGTGTCTGTCTTTATGTGAGTGTTGTGATGAGTTTGTGCGTCTGTCTTTATGTGAGTGTTGTGATGAGTTTGAGCGTCTGTCTTTGTGTGAGTGTTGTGATGAGTTTGTGCGTCTCTTTTTGTTTGAGTGCTGTGATGAGTTTGTGCGTCTGTCTTTGTGTGAGTGTTGTGATGACTTTGTGCGTCTGTCTTTGTATGAGTGTTGTGATGAGTTTGTACGTCTGTCTTTATGTGAGTCTGTGTTGTGATGAGTTTGTGCGTCTGTCTTTGTATGAGTGTTGTGATGAGTTTGTGTGTCTGTCTTTATGTGAGTGTTGTGATGAGTTTGTGCGTCTGTCTTTATGTGAGTGTTGTGATGAGTTTGAGCGTCTGTCTTTGTGTGAGTGTTGTGATGAGTTTGTGCGTCTCTTTTTGTTTGAGTGCTGTGATGAGTTTGTGCGTCTGTCTTTGTGTGAGTGTTGTGATGAGTTTGTGCGTCTGTCTTTGTATGAGTGTTGTGATGAGTTTGTGCGTCTGTCTTTGTGTGAGTCTGTGTTGTGATGAGTTTGTGCGTCTGTCTTTGTATGAGTGTTTTGATGAGTTTGTGTGTCTGTTTTTGTGTGAGTGTGTGTTGTGATGAGTTTTTGTGTCTGTTTTCGTGTGAGTCTGTGTTGTGATTAGTTTGTGCAACTGTCTTTGTGTGACTCTGTGTTGTGATTAGTTTGTGCGTCTATCTTTGTGCGACTCTGTGTTGTGATTAGTTTGTGCGTCTATCTTTGTGCGACTCTGTGTTGTGATGAGTTTGTGCGTCTCTCTTCGTGTGAGTGTTGTGATGAGTTTGGGTGTCTGTCTTTGTGTGAGTGTTGTGATGAATTTGTGCGTCTGTCTTTGTGTGAGTGTTGTGATGAATTTGTGCGTCTGTCTTTGTGTGAGTGTTGTGATGAGTTTGTGTCTGTCTTTGTGTGAGTGTTGTGATGAATTTGTGCGTCTGTCTTTGTGTGAGTGTTGTGATGAGTTTGTGTCTCATCGTGTGAGTGTTGTGATGAGTTTGTGCGTCTGTTTTTGTGTGAGTGTTGTGATGAGTTTGTGCGTCTGTTTTTGTGTGAGTGTTGTGATGAGTTTGAGCGTCTCTCTTTGTGTGAGTCTGTGTTTTGATGATGAGATTGTGCGTCTGTCTTTGTGTGAGTCTGTGTTGTGATGAGTTTGTGTGTCTGTCTTTGTGTGAGTCTGTGTTGTGATGAGTTTGTGCGTCTGTCTT